CACACACACACACACAATTTAAGACAATTCAGTGGGCTACTTACTGAACTTAGACAATAGAAGCAAAGTATCGATACTGTCGCGCTAGTATCTCCCTGATACCAGCGTTAGTTATCGATACTATTGATGTTTGGATCCACCTCTAGTGAAAACTCTTATAAAGGTAAATTTTTGCCCATTTGTGTTTTAGGACACCACACGTTGCAGTTATTATGGAAATTATGTTCTTTCTGTACCAATGTCTTGCTTTGCAGCTTTAAATTACCCTAGATTAAAATTAGAATTTAAAACATGCATAATAGACAGTCATTCAAAACTGCTCATCCCTGCGATGAGACTTGGGTACAATGAAGCAGAATGTCTTTGGAAAACATCGGAGTTCTGCAGCCTCCCTGCAGGCAGAAACAACAGCTGCTAAAACACATGCTCTCCTGTCCTCTCCAGCGCTCCTGTCTTACACTTTCCATCATAAAACTAGCATGGAGTCCATATGATACACCATACCCAAGAGTTCTGTACTAACACATTCACACGCATTAGTAATAACATTACAGCTCAGAGATTTTAGAGCTATGGTTTCCACATATGAAGCTGGGAAAGTACCAGATGCCTCCACAGCAAAAAAAAAAAAGTAAAAGAAAAAAAAATTAGATATGGCTCTTTTTGTTTCAACAGTCCATCCTGTGCAAGTGTAAGCAAGTAGCTGTGCAAAATCCAGTTCTTTACCATTTGGTAAAGGGTATTTCCTATTTCCTAACAATAACACTTAGCAAGGAAAAAGAGGGATTAAAAACTGCAGGCACATGCAATGTAAACAAACATTAAGCGTGCAGGCTCCACAAATAAGAAGAGAATAGATCTGTTGGGGGCCAGGAGAACAAAGTGTAGGGAAAGAAGCCACGTCTGACCTCGTCACTTCACCAAACGATGACCACAAAGATCTGGCAGCTCTCGATTCTTGAACCCCCCGATTCCAATTAGAGAGATTAGAAAGGAGTCAAGACAAGTGCAGAGTAGTTTCTTAGCCAAACAACCCAAACACCCTCCTTCAGCCTCATCCAGCTGGCATTCCAGAGCAACAGGCTGGCTACAGACTCAATTTAGAGCAACATCAAAGTGGAGGTTAGAGAAAGCTCAAATGGTGAACTGCTCAAGGATTCCCATTAACTACAAAGAAACTGACATCATCCAGGACTGCTTAGGCAAAACACGGCCCTTAGCAGAAATCGAAATGCTGCAGACCAACAATACTCTATTTGTTTGTTTGTTTGTTCCTTATGTTCAAAGTTCGGTTAGAATTCTCAGAAATACAAAGCTGCTACAAATGGTTTTTTGAGCGTAAAGTAAAGAAAAAAGCCTGGTCACACTTGTGTTTCACTTCTTCAAAAGGAGTTCATAATGCACAGCAGAACCCAACTCCCATCCCTGTTGGATTACAGCCAGTTAGGAACAACAGCCAGATTCAGTGGAGCCAGCCGCTCTTATGATGGACGAGGCAAATGCTCTCCCCCCAAACTGTACCTCCTAAATTACTCCAATAGATCACTTACATTTTCTGCTTTTATACCAAAACTTCTCACGTTGCTCTGATGGAAATACAAGGCCAGCGTCTTGCATGGTCTTGTCCTACTTTTCATTCTGTTCATTTTTATTTCAAACGAGTATCCCCAGATCCTGGACATGCAGTAGTTCAGGGGGATTTGTAAGTAATAGTGTTTCCAGAACTGGAATGCGGTTCCCCAGAGTAGATTTGTAAATACACATGCAGAGACAGACATATTCCTCAGTTTGTCTCCACTGCTGTCAGAAGTCATTACACACAAGCTGAACTGCCAGAACAATTAACTGGACTTTGTATTCAAGTGCTTCCAAGTCCTGAGAGAGGCAGCAAAAGAAGTGGGGGGCAGAAAAGGAGTCAGTATTAAGAAGCTGCCAAATGTTTTGCTGTCGACATTTTTTCATTTTTGCTCTGCCTCTGGAAAGTTCTCAGATGTCTGTCTCAAATACGCTGGATTCAGAGGTTCTTACACAAAAGGCAGGAATTATACAGTTTTGTGAAAACAAGAAAACAGCTTAGTCTTGATGGTGGATAGTTTTACATGCATATGCAGTATAAGTGTCATCTCAAATTAGGGTGAAAACACAGCAAGTCATTTGGTTTTCCAGGTCTGCATCTGCAAGATTACACGAGAGGGATCACATCTCAGGGATCTCAGTAATTTTAGCTTTGCTAACAGAATGGCAGCAAGGTCGGCACACAATGAAAAAAACCAAAAAAACCAAACAACGACTGTGGCATAGAATCAGAGATGTTATAAGAACTTTGGATCCAGTGCCATGAAAACGATCGTTCCCAGAGGATTAAAGGATTGAAAGTCTTGTTTTTAGGCTAATTTTGTTGAAGAATTCTGGGTTATGTTAAATGAATCTTAACTTTGATTACTTCCTGCCTTTTCTGTCACCCATAGAATGTAAACAGAATATATGGACACAGTCACCATTATGTCACACACTAGTTTTGGGCTACTGCTTTGAAACTGGACTTGACTGTATGTGTCCAAGAGTCAAGCAAACACCTAACGCTGGTCCCAGAACCTCCCATTATTAACTTTGGTATGAACTGGGATTCATACTGAAAAAGAAGAAGGTTAGGAAAATAATCTACAGTCCTCTCCTTGGAGAAAGAGGTGAAAAAAACCCATTGGGTGTATCTCACTGTGAAGCCACGTACACTACACACCCATATAGCAGCAACTTGTCAATCACAGGGGAACCACACATGTAAGCATACTCTGCTTTATCATTTTTTAAGTTTAAATATGACCACAATGTACAAAACAAAAAATCCTGCTCTAATGAAGAAGACCTGAAAATAGTAAGTAGAACCGTGATTTCACTAGGAATATGCTCAGAGAGGCAATAAATCAAGTTAAAAGCAGAGAAATTTGATCATTGACTTTTGTACATTTCAACTTCTTTTCACAAGGACAGTTACCCCTGCTGGCCATAAGAGAGAACGGAGGTTTAATGGAGGTTTGATTTGACCTCATATTTCAGACCAGGAAGGGCCACCATGAACGTTAAATAAATGAATTTTTTAGAAACTTTTTGTTAATTATTATCAAAGACCTCTTAGTTAGTTAGTTAGTTAGTTGTTGATATTAAGGGAGTTTTTCCTTTCCAGTGCTTGCTCATGGGGGTTTGTCTAATTGCTGGGGTTTTCTCTTCATTATTTTAAGGTCTTTACTGTACAATATAAAGTGCCTTGTGACAACTGTTGATATGATTTTGCACTGTGTACATATATTTGAATTGAAACTAATTTAATTTCTGCTTATCAAAGCTCTCAGTCACATAGGCCTAGAAACTGGTCAGCAACCTCTTGTCAGTCTCCGGTTACTAGAAAAAAATGTCTACTCCCCAACCCTTTTTGCAAGCAGTTGCTGGAGGTTACTGGCTGTCACCGTGTGAAATCATTCACACAAAAGGTATTGCACCAAAAGGCTCCTTGTCATTGCTATGATTTCTAGCTGACTGCCAAAGTCAACCTTCAAAATTCTCTACCCCTGAGTGAATGGGACTTTAGCAATAGATTTCACAGCAAATTTCCAACCAGTTGGGGAATACACAGAGACGGATGACTGCCTGAGGAACTGGGGGCCCAAGATGATTCTGTTGGTAAACTTGCACTAGATTTCATCCTAACATAATGAATTAGCATTAGAGAAACCCATTGCAATGCCTACTCTGTGTACTCACAGACCTGTCTGCATGGTTGTAGATAGTTTTATATATGTAGGCATGTTGATATTTAAGCTTGCAGAATATTCTTTCTCTTTTCATATTGTCCAGACTCTAGCACACCCCCTGTTCTTATCACACCACATATTTTTTAGGATCATACCACATTTCTGTGATTTATTGCACCCCTGTGTGGGAAGCGGTGCACCACAGCAGGAAAAAAGATTTGACTGACTTTGAGCTCAAAGACGGGAACAAAACTACAAGTTCAAACACAGGTCATCCTGGTGTGTGATGTGAGGAATAACAGATTTGTTTTGCTGTTCTGGTTTCCCATCAGCAAGACTTTAAAAATTCCTTTGGCTTGCTTTATGGAACACACTAACACCACAGGGAGTAAGCCAACATTACAAAAGACTTGTGTTGTGTGTTCCTCTTGACAATTTTGGAAGAAATCAAATGGGGCCTCTTAAACTGATAGGAACAGAGAGTTAAGCTTCAGATAGAGCAGTAGACACTCGTTTTGCCATCACAAAGTAGCATCAATGACGGAAATGCACTCAAGAGTCGGTCAAGCGGCGGCTTTCGCCTCCCTCCGATGGTGCATCTGGAAGAAGACACCCTCACCACTCTCATCACCTGTACTGCACACTGGTATTGCCCATTCTTCTCTGTGGATCTGAGACCTGTTTCATTCTCAAGCATGACCTCAACAAGCTCGAGGTCTTCCGAATGTGCTGTTTGCATCAGATTCTCCGAGTGTCCCTCTGTGACCGTCTCAGCAACACCACGATACGTAGTCAATGTCACCAGCAGCCTTCAATGGAGGAGCTGATCCAGAAGCGACGACTATCACAAATTAAAAAGAGGTCGTGAATTCTGCAGGGCTGTGAGAAGGATGCAGAACAGCCAGTTTTGATTCTGTA